ATTCCCCCTCCGATCCGGTTTAAGGAATCCGGAGTGCCTCCCCCCCCCCCCCTGCCGCCCGCCCGCCCCGCCTGCCTTCTCCCACTCCCTGACCCCTGTGAGAATCCCCCCCAGCTCACCCCAGCCTACCTTAACCCAGCTTTGCACCCCACCACTCTAAGCGGAGGGGGATTTGATCCGGGTTGGCTGCGATACAGAGAAAGCGCCGCTCTCGCTTGTCATGGAAAGCGGCGCTCCCACCTGCTTCCCTTTCTGCCTTCGCGGGGTCCCGTCCAGCCGCCTCTCCCTTCCACCTCCCGCTCTCCTCTCTGTCCCCAGAATTTTGGCAGCCCCCCTCCGGAAGCGCCCGGGCCAAGCACCCCCGACGGATCGTCCGTTCCCTGCAAAACTCGGGTTCCCCCCCCCCCCTTACCTTCTGCAAGTGCTGGGGAGCCGGCTTCGCCTCCAGCCCCAGGGCCAGGAGGGCGAGGAAGAGGCTGCAAGCCACGACGGGAGAGGCGTACATCCCGGGCGAGAGGGAGGGAGGCCGGGCAGGTGGACGACGAGGGCGGCCGAGCGGGAGGCGACGGTCCACGGGGCGGAGGGAGCCCCCGACGGCCGGAGCTCCGATCCTCGCAGCAAGGAAAAGGAAAGGAGGCGCTCCCAGTTCCCAGTTCTCAGCTGCTGCGTCTCCCAACCGAGCGGGATTCTCTCTCTCTCTCTCTCTCTCTCTCTTCCGACGGCTGGAGCCGATTGTGGCGGCGAGCGCGCCCTCGGCTCCTTATAAGCGACCTGCCGGTGATGTCATCCTCCCCCCCCTGCTCTGGGGTGGGGGGTGGGGAGAAGCCATCCAGCCGGTCGCCGGCTCCTTGCTAGACGGGGAGTCCGCGCCGCGGCGAAGGCCTGCGGTGCCGCTCTCGGCTGTTGCGCGCCTGGATGCCCCCGGGGAGGGGGGGGTGCGTGTGAAATCTGAGTACACGTGAGCCGGGGACCCTCGTTCCGCGTCAGCTGGGGCGGCGGAGGAGGCACCTGTCTCGCAAGGGGGGGGGAGGAGCGCGTTCTGCGGGGCTGGAAAGGCGGCCGACGAGAGGTCTCTCCGGGGGGTACCTCTGGAGAGGAGACGGAGCGATGCGTTTCTCCTGTTGGGCGGCTGGGAGCGGAGTCGTCGCCCCATTTCAGGGAAAGGGAAGCCGCCTGGGAGAAGGGCCGCGGTGGCGCGGTGGCAGAGCGCCTGCCTGGCAGGCAGAAGGTCGCCGGGTCGATCCCGGGCGTCTCCAGTTAAAAGGAGGTGGTGGGAAAGGCCTCGGCCTGAGACCCCGGAGAGCTGTCAAGAGGGGCCGTGGCTCAGTGGAAGAGCCTCTGCCTGGCATGCAGGAGGTCCCAGGTCCCAAGTTCAAGCCCCGGCACCTCCAGTTAAGAGGACCAGGCAGAGAGGTGATGGGAAAGACCTCAGCCTGAGACCCTGGAGAGCTGTAAAGAGGGGCCGTGGCTCAGTGGAAGAGAGCCGGTGCACATTTGAGTCTGAGACACTGGAACAATACTGACTTGGGAGGTCTGCTTGGCAGGCAGAAGGTCCCCGGTTCGATCCCCGGGGTCTCCAGGCGGTAGGTGATGGGAAAGACCTCTGCCTGAAACCCCGGAGAGCTCGTGCCAGTCTGAGTGACTTTGGGAGGTGCGTGGTCTCCGGTTCGATCCCCGGCATCTCCAGTTAAACCTGGCAGTAGGTGATGAGAAAGACCTCTGCCTGTGACCTTGGAGAGAGACTGCCAGTAGACAAGACTGATTTTGATGGACCGAGAGTCTGATTCAGTATAAGGCAGCTTCATGGGTTCATGGGAGGGTCCATGACTGAGTGAAAGAGCCTCTGCCTGGCATGCCGAAGGTCCCAGGTTCGACCCCGGCATTGGTGTAAAATACCTCCGCCTGAGACCCTGGTGAGCAGGTTCAGTCCCCGGCATCTCCAGGTAAAAAGGACCAGGCAGGAAAGACCCCTACTACCTGAGACCTCTGCCAGTCTGAGTAGTCAATTAGACCTTGATAGACGGGTCTAATAATTCAGTATAAGGCAGCTTCATGTGTGTTCGTGTGAATCCACCACACCCAGCTATGGGAACCCCTTGAATGACTTTGGGTCAGCTACACACTCTGGAAGACGCAGATTCGAATCCCCACTCCTGCCGTGGGAGAACCACAGGCCGGTTACACGCTCCCTGCCTCACTGGGTTGTTGGGTGGATAAAAGCAGTGGAGAATGGATTTAACCCGGTGGGGGTTCCCGTTCGGAAGCAAAGCGGGACCTACCTAAAGGAGCGCGATCCATAACCCCCCCCTGCTGCTGCGCACCTGTTCTGCTCTGAGGGACCAAGGCGGGGGAATGGAGCGGGAGAAACGCCGGCGAAGGGCTGGGACCAGAAGGCCAGAAGATGGGCTCCCTCGCCGACGTCTCCCGGCCTCTCCCTGTTCCTCAGACGGCGGCGAAGGTCTCTCCGGCTTCTCTGCGGGGACCCCCTTCGGGGAAGGGATTGGGGCCAGCTTCGCCAAGGGGTCCCCGGCAGGCTTTTGCTAGGGGGCAGTCATGGAGAAACGCGTGGAGGGAGAAACGCGCCCTGCCGCCTAGATGTCAAGGGGTTCATGTTCCCTCTAAGCGGTGGAGTCCCGCGAGCAAAAATTCTACCGCCGGCATGAAAGTTGTGACTAGCGAGCCAATTTGGCTGCAGCATCAATCAGTTTGCTCTGGAGCCGTCCCTTCCTGGGTGAAGACGAAAATGTGTGAGCCGGAGGCTAAAAAACTAAACTGGCTCACACTCACTCAGCTTAGAGGGAACACTCCCGTCGAGTCCCGCGGCCAAACTGCCCCCACCCCCGCACACATTCGTTCTGCGCTGATTTTTGCTTGGAAAACCAATACATTATTGACCCGTTTGTCATGACCCAGCAGGAGAGACGCCAGATCACCCCCCCCCAAAGAGTCTTGGAGTTGCCAACTGCAGGTTGGGAAATACCTGGAGCCTGGGGGGTGGAGTCTGAGGAGGGCGGGGTTTGCGGAGGACGGGAACCCCGGCGGGGTATAAATGTCCGAGAACCCACCCAAAGCTGCCATTTCCCCAAGGGGACTGATCTGTGTGGTTTGGAGGTGGGCGGTCATTCCGGGAGATCTCCAGGCGCCGCCTGGAGGTTGGCAACTTTAGCCCAAACAGCGTCGAGGTGCTCCGAAAGAGCAATTGAGGAGAGGGAGGGGTGGGATTGAGGGAGAAGGAACTGCTTTTCGCCTGGCATCTCAGCACGCAGCGCACGGAGGGCGCGTTTCCCCGAAGGGGCGGACCTGTCGGTCTGCCGCCGCCACCCGAGTGACCCGGAGCTGCGTGGCCTGTCGGGGCGGACGCTGTTTGAGCCACTTGGACAGCTGCGCAGTCACGAAGGCACCGCCTAACTCCCTGGCTGTACCTTTTGACCTCCATGACAAGTTGCCAACTCCCGGTTGGGAAACTCCTGGAGATTTGGGTGGTGGATTTGAACCTGGGGAGGGCAACTCACTGAAAATGTCGAGACAGTGTGCCACCAGTGTTCCCTCTAAGCTGAGTGAGCGTGAGCTAGCTCACAGGTTTTTTAGCCTCCAGCTCACACAGTTTTGTCTTCGCTCAGGAAGGAGGGCTCCCGAGCAAACTGATTTATGCAGTGGCCAAATCGCTCGCTCACCACTTTAGTGCCAGTAGCTCGCAAAGTAGAGTTTTTGCTCCCACGATTCCACAGTTTAGAAGGAGCATTGTGTGCGACTACAATCAAAAAGGCCAAGGCTATGCTGGGGATTATTAGGAAGGGAATTGAAAACAGATCAGCCAGTATCATAATGCCCCTGTAGAAATCGATGGTGCAACCTCATTTGGAATACTGTGTGCAATTCTGGTCACCACACCTTAAAAAGGATATTATAGCTTTGGGAAAAGTGCAGAAAAGGGCAACTCGAATGATAAAAGGGTTGGAACACTTTCCCTATGAGGAAAGGTTAAAGCGCTTGGGGCTCTTTAGCTTGGAGAAACGACGGCTGAGGGGTGACATGATCGAGGTTTATAAGATTATGCATGGGATAGAGCAGGTAGAGAAAGAGGTACTTTTCTCCCTTTCTCACAATACAAGAACTCGTGGGCATTCCATGAAATTGCTGAGCGGTCGGGTTAGAACGGATAGAAGGAAGTCCTTCTTCACCCAAAGAGTGATTCACACATGGAATTCACTGCCACAGGAAGTGGTGGCGGCTACAAGCATGGACGGCTTCAAGAGGGAATTAGATAAGCATATGGAGCAGAGGTCCATCGGTGGCTGTTAGCCACAAGGTATAGATAGGTCTGGGGCAAGGGATGCTCTGTCTTCTTGGTGCTTGGGGGGGGGCAACAGTGGGAGGGCTCCTAGTGTCCTGGCCCCACTTGTGGACCTCCTGGTGGCCCCTGGTCTTTTTGGCCACTGTGTGACACAGAGTGTTGGACTGGATGGGCCATTGGCCTGATCCAGCATTGGCTTCTCTGATGCTCTTATGTTTGCGGAGGTGAGGAACTTCAGCGGGGGGTCTAAGGCCATACCCTCCGAAGCAGCCATTTTCGGGGGGGGGGGGAACGGTTCCCCCTCTCGTCCTCGCATCGCAGATGTCAATCTGGGAGCTCCCCAGGCCCCGCCTGGATGTTGGCAAGCAAACCCTGCCTCGACGGGTTGGCCCCGGAAAGCTCTGAGCTCCTCCGAGGGGCGCCCTGGGGGTGCGCAGCCAGAGAGGAAACAGCCGCCCGCCCCTTCGAACCGCAGAAAAGCCCCCTTAAGGGCCGGGGGTTCCCAGCGCCGTCAGGATGGCCGATGGGTGGCTCTGCCGCTGCGGGGGGGGGGGCATCCCGCTTGGGACCTTCCCAGATAGCTGCCCTGCCCGGGTCACCGCCTCTCCCCCCAGCAGAGGGGGGGAAACACACTGCCCCATTCACACGTTCGAAGCGGCCGCACGCGGAGTCCGCGGGTGTCTCGTCGGGGAGTCTTAAACTAAGGCTCCCTCACCGCTGTGGAGTCCTGGGAGCAAAAATTCTACTTTGTGACTCCTGGCATGAAAGTTGTGAGCGAGCCAATTTGGGTGCTGCATGAATTAGTTTGCTCTGGAGCCCTCCTTCCTGAGCGAAGACAAAAATGCGTGCGCCGGAGGCTAAAAAACTGCGAGCTGGCTCACGCTAACTCGGCTTAGAGGGAACACTGGTCTGAACCTAAAGATGTCTGTGAGGCGTGCCTCTGCCAAAGGTGGAGGATCCTCAAGAGGGTTCCTACAACCCGCTTTCTTTGGCGTCGTGGTAAAGTGCGCGGACTCTAATCTGGGAGAACCGGGTTTGATTCCCCCACTCCTCCACTTGCACCTGCTGGATGACCTTGGGCAAGCCGTAGCTCTGATAAGAGCTGTTCTTGAAAAAGAGTCGTTTCTGTCAGAGCTCTCTCAGCCCCACCTGCCTCACAGGGTGTCTGTTTGTGGGGAGGGGAAGGGAAAGGAGTTTGTAAGCTGCTCTGAGACTCCTTCGGGCAGCGAAGGGTGGGGTATAAATCCAATCTCTTCAGTTTGGCGTAGTGGTTAAGTGCATGGACTCTAATCTGGGAGAACTGGGTTTGATTCCCCGCTCTT